AGATGACAGTAGATGACAGTAGATGACGGTAGATGACGGTAGATGACAGTAGATGACACTAGATGACACTAGATGACACTAGATGACGGTAGATGACAGTAGATGACGGTGGATTACACTAGATGACAGTAGATGACAGTAGATGACAGTAGATGACTGTAAATGACACTAGATGACACTAGATGACAGTAGATGACGGTAGATGACAGTAGATGACAGCAGATGACTGTAGATGACAGTAGATGACTGTAGATCACACTAGATGACTGTAGATCACACTAGATGACGGTAGATGACACTAGATGACGGTAGATGACAGTAGATGGCAGTAGATGACAGTAGATGACAGTAGATGACGGTGGATGACGGTAGATGACGGTAGATGACAGTAGATGACAGTAGATGACAGTAGATGACGGTAGATGACGGTACATGACAGTAGATGACAGTAGATGACGGTAGACGACAGTAGATGACGGTAGATGACACTAGATGACGGTAGATGACACTAGATGACGGTGGATTACACTAGATGACGGTAAATGACACTAGATGACGGTAGATGACGGTATATGACACTAGATGACGGTAGATGACACTAGATGACACTAGATGACACTAGATGACACTAGATGACGGTAGATGTCAGTAGATGACACTAGATGACGGTAGATGACAGTAGATGACTGTAGATGACGGTAGATGACACTAGATGACACTAGATGACACTAGATGACGGTGGATTACACTAGATGACGATAGATGACACTAGATGACGGTAGATGACAGTAGATGACGGTAGATGACAGTAGATGACGGTATATAACGGTAGATGACACTAGATAACAGTGGATAACGGTAGATGACACTAGATAACAGTGGATAACGGTGTACATGTGAATATAGAGCGAGTGTGTCTCATATTCGCGTATATAGGACATGGATTTATTACCCAGTCCCTCAAGCGTCAGGTTTACGCGGATTGGACGTCAGTTTCATTCCCCCTCTTGCAAACCGTTGCACGGCCAGTATAAATTTGAACGCAATTTAACGCAATCACGAAAAAAAAATTAAAAACATGGCCAACTCAATGCAATACATTTTAGGAGCAAACTGTTTTGCTCCTAAAATTTACTGCATTGAGTTCGCTGTCGGAAAAAAGTCGAGGAAAACTTCCCCGTGTGGAGAAAAGAATCACTTTTTCAAATATATTAATGTGTCGTACTGTCGTTCTGGATGCACAAGGAAAGAGATGTTCTTGCGAGAAAATTTCATTTCACAGGTAGGTAAATTGACTTGCAACTGTGACTTTGCCGTTGCCATTTTTCGCGATTGTTTGAATTGTTTTTTAGTTTACCAGTTTTATAGTTTTTAGTCAATACACTGGTACGTTATTTTTTAAAGAATTTATTGTGTGATGGAATTTGCCTGCCAGCAAAATGTAAATGAATATGTACGTGTGTTTGAATATAAATTAGACCATATGGGCTTAGTAAAAAATTATTTTAATAACTACGTTTCGGAGTATAACTCCACCTTCAGGTTAAAAGTGAATAAAGATATAAAAACTGTGATAAAAACGTTCAAAACAATTACAAATTTTATAGGTAAGTGATTTTTAATACTGTAAGAAAGTTCTTGAACAGTTGATGACGAAGACAATGACGAATACTTATGTCGTGATTTTTTTGTCGGCTTCACTTTTCGCTCGCTGTTATCATTCCAGATATATATATATATATAGAGAGTTCACTGGCTGTCCCTCATCCTCAGACAGCCTGTACGCAGGCTAACTTCATCAATATTTCCTTTTTCTTTGTAGATAATCTTTTAAATATTGATTATTGAATGTTTAGACACTTTCATGTTTGGAAGTTCAGCATTTCTCTCCAAAACTCAATTTTAGAACTGTGAACTACCCATTTTCCAATTAGAACTGCCCATTTTGAAAAATGGGAGGCCTTAGGATGACCCCTGCTGTGTTGACTGCTGTGTTGACTGGTGTGTCTTACAGACTCTACACATAAATAATATAAGTAATATATACTTACCGCGGTTTAATAAAATAATTACATTTCATTTAGGCAATAAAAAAACACTGTTCTTCCATTTGAAAAACCTAAAATTGAATACTGTGAAAAGAAAAATATATTTGGCTGCCATATTTTAAAAATTTAACCTCTTGTGGCCACCCTTTGTCATAGTGATCATAGTCAATAGGTTTCTATTTTTGACTAGTTTAGTTTTGTGCAAGTCCATGTTTTACAAATGAGTCCAGTCCATGTTTTACAAATGAGTCCAGTCCATGTTTTACAAATGAGTCCAGTCCATGTTTTACAAATGAGTCCAGTCCATGTTTTACAAATGAGTCCAGTCCATGTTTTACAAATGAGTCCAGTCCAGGTTTTACAAATGAGTCCAGTCCAGGTTTTACAAATGAGTCCAGTCCAGGTTTTACAAATGAGTCCAGTCCAGGTTTTACAAATGAGTCCAGTCCATGTTTTACAAATTCTATTGTTCTGAGTCCAGTCCATGTTTTACAAATGAGTCCAGTCCAGGTTTTACAAGTCCAGTCCAGTCCAGGTTTTACAACATGCCTTTTAAAATCGCTCATCCGAGCGATTTTTTTTTCAGTCGAACGATAACGATAAATATTTGACCAATCAGCGCGCGTATACAAGTTATCGTATCGTTATCGTTGTGCAGTGTGACCTGGGCTTAAGAATCGTATACGACTAATTGATTATGTTAAGGTGTCTTCAGATTACGATTTAACCATAGAAATAATATGGATTTAACATAATTGACTCACCAAATATGACCCACAGTATGTTTTTAATAACAAACAGACAAAAATGCCATTTTTAATTACATACCTGTAACGTTATCACAGTAATTTTACTACATTGTACATTAAATCAAACTTTAAATTTACATGATAACTTTGACTTTAAAGCGGCTCGATACAGTATTTTTAGAACTGTTTGACATTCTCGAATATCATGTTTTTACTTTTTAGCTTAGTTACAAGTTAAAACATGATACTGCCATAATTATCCGTCGCCATTAGGCCAGACACAAGACATTTTAATTTGTCATTTTAGTTTACGGATCCGCCGATCGTAAAAATGAAGATTGAAAATACACCTTGAAGCCCGGATCAAACGAGACCTTGGTTAACTGGTCTGTTTAAGTTAAAACATAGTTGCTAAGTTGGAATACGCATCAAACCTTTATTTTGTTAATCTAGAGCTTGAAATGTCCCCTGCCATTTCGTGTTAGTTTTATCACACAAATTACATTATATTGAAATATGGCCCATCTTTTTAATGATGCAGAAATAAGCAAACACAGTTTTCATTGAGCAGCTCCCATCCCAAAATGGTCACACAATTTTCATGATGGGTACGAATTTCCATATCGAGCCACCTTAAGTCAAGATACACTGAACTCAGGCTAGACATGGCACACCTTATGTACATTCATGACACACCTTGTATTATAAGTTTTTAAAAACATAATATAAAGACTTAAATCAAGACAAATGTATGTTTTAATGGCTGTATCTGTGATTGTCAAATTTAATAGACGGTTGCTAATTGTCAAGTTGCTTACCCCATTGGGGAAAGGGGGCAGGTCATTTTGGTCTTATTTAGGTTGGCTTCTTTTTGGTCTTATTTAGTTCAAAATCCTTATTTTAATCACATTACTATCCTTTAATCCAACAAGGGTCCATTCACAAAGGATGTCCGAGCCGAGGGGGGGAGGGGGGTTTGGAAAATCAGGACAAACTCAGACATAGGGGGGGGAGGGTTTTTTTTAGCAATACAGATGTCCGAAATTTTAAAAAAATTCAAAAACAAATTTCTTTTTCCTCTCTTTTGAACTCTCCTTCCCATTGTGAAATTGGCATTTTGACTATGCGGTTAATACTAGATTTTGTTTTAATTAGTAATTTATATGTTTTTGTATTCACATTTATAGTTATAAAAAAGTTCTAAAAGTAAAAAGTTTTTTACTCTTGACATATACATGGTTGTGTGAGTTTTTCGAGGCATGGTGGATGTCCGGAGGGAGGGGAGAGGGGGGGGGTCACTAATTCGGACAATGCCGGACAAGGAGGGAGGGGGTCTGAAAATCCATCATTTGGCCGGACATCCTTTGTGAATGGCCCCTAAGCATTTAATTAATTTAAATCTCTGGGGAATGATTGATAAATCAATAATTTTTCAGGGAGTACCCTCCCTCCCCCCACAGGAAATCCATCTATGCCAGATTTTCCAGACTAATAATAATGCCAAACATTGTCAATGACTATTATTGAGTTGACAATGTTTTAATAATTGTGCAAACACTAAATTATATTAACTTGACAAATCACAGCACATAAGCCACAAACATACCCTTACTCCTAGAGTACCCAGCAGCTTGTATTTAATAAGCAATAACATAGGCTTGGGCGGTTTTGCTTAAAATCAAAACCGAAAAACCGTCTGATTCTAAACCGGTAAAACCGAAAAACCGTTTTTTTCCCTTTAATTTGTATTTCAACTGTATGAGGAGGAATTGTAGTATTTTTCTGTCATAAGCAAACGAACAGTACATGACAAAACGCAAAATTGTGCAAAGGTAACCTAAAACGACTTCAGTTTTAAAATAAAAGGGTCAAGAACGCATTTGAAAACTTATACCTCTTCAGTTCTTACCGACTTTATGGAAAAAGAATAGAATTTGTATCTAGTGTCACGTAATTGAGTTTAATTGGTGTCATGTTTGGAGAATTAAGATCGAGTTTCAGGCGATGACAGTAAACAATTACGTAATGACGGTTTTCCGGTTTTTGTAAAAGCTAAACCGAAAAAACCGGTTTGAAAATAAAACCGAAAAAAAACACGAAAAACCGGTAAACCGCCCAAGCCTACGATAACAATAAGCTAACAGTGTTTTGGGCTGAATTTTAAAAATACCTTGCTTTGATTGGGCAAAAACAGACATGGTTTCTATTGCAAATTTAATAAATAAA